GGCTGGACGAGGCGGCGCCTGAGCGGCTGCGGCAGCGCGGCCAGGCCCTGTGCTCGGCGCGGGAGGAGCGCAGAAGGAAGGTGCGGCGCATCCCCCCGCCCGCGTCCCCTCGCGCCAGCCGGCTCCCACACGGGTCACACCAGAGCCTGCTCTCGTCCCCGCGCAGGTGGCCGACGACCTGCTCCACCAGCACTGGAAAGACAACAGCGCCCGGCTGCGAGAGGTGCCTGCGCCTGCCACCGACTCGAGTCCCCACATCTGCCACGAGACATGGGTCCCAGGGCACGGCTCCGCTGGCGTCCTCAGGGGACGGGTGTCTGTGATGAACCGAAATGCAAAAACCTAGCGCTTGCGGCTCGGAAACAAGACCGTTGATCCCGGGTCTCGTTTCTGTGCTGCAACTTCTGGATCAGCGCATTTCGCGGCGTTTTCATTGCTTTCGCTGCGGGGCCATTGTGCCACGGAAGTGAAAGCAGGTCTTCCTCCTGGCTTGCTCCGTGCAGCGCTCCCGTGGACTCTGGAGATTTGTCTCGTCTTGTGCCGTGGGCTCCAGCAGTGGCCGAGTCCCGGCATCCCTGAGGCGCTTCCTTCCTTTCTGTCCTCCTGTGCCACAGGGCGCATCCCGTAGCCAGTCCTGCGAGCAGAGTTGCTCTGTAAGACCTGGTGGCGGAGGCTGAACGAAAAGCATGTTCAGACCTTGGCAGAAGTCACTCGGCAGGGATGGCCGCTGCTCAGGTAGGAGCGCGGCGACTGCCCCCTCTCGTCCTAGTTTCCCGGGGAATGTCACTGGCGTCTTGAGCGTGACAGGTACTATTTAGCTGCTTCTCCTTTGTGGGCTGACAGTCCAGCTCGGGGGATGCTCTTGGTGCTGCACTGTGGGGCCGACTGCTTCGTTTCCTTCAGTCTGTGGACTCATGGTGACCCGCGCTGCAGTTCTTAGAGCCATGTTTGCATCCTGCAGCGGGGAGCGGATTGTAATCATGGGTTTTTTCTTTTTTTTTTTTTTGTGATGCCCCGTACGTTCCCTGCCGCAGATTGAGTCGGAGCTGCACAAGAAACTCGTGATAGATGCCTGGGGCAACCAGCTGATGCAAAAGAAGCAGGTATGGTGGGACTTCTCCACATCATCCTGGTCCTACTTCACTTAGTCGCTAGGAGGGTTTTGAGACAGTGGAGCAGACGTGATTTTTATGTTTTTGGGACTGCTCATTTTCACTGACTTCTTCACAGGGCCTCTTCCTTTCCTGTATGGACTTGCATTCATGTGTGGGAGATAGAAGGTTTGTCGGTTCAAAACACATCCCAGATATTCTGGCTTATCCCCAGTTGCCAAGGAATGAGGGTGTTTTATTACTTGCCAAATACATTTACAACTTGCCATGGCCACGAGATGACCAGAATCGTTTTTAAGGACATCTCAGACTATCAGTTCTCTGTCAGAAAAACCCAAAAAAGCAAACCATACATAAAGTTTACATTGTGGTTTGTTTGCAACATAAAGTTAGTGATATGGTCTATTAAACTAACATATTGGATGGTTCTGCGTGGCACTAAGGCATCCATCCAAGACAGCTAACTGTAATAGACAACTATGAATGCACAGCTCTGAGAATTTGTTCCCTCATGTCAAGCGGAGGAGATACGAGACATGTGGTACCATAAAGATTAAAGCCTTAACAATTCTGGAGATATTCTTCAGAGTAAGCTGCAAAGCATTCCTGGCAGCTGACTATATATTGGCTGTGAAAGTGCAAATAATAAAGAATTTCAGATAACATAGCTCTATTTTAGCAAAGTATTTTTGATCTTTGAAGTAGGTGATGTTTTGATACTAATTTTAAATCACTACAAATCTGACGGAAGTCAGTGAAAACCAGGCATTTTTTTGTATTAAAAGCCTGATACACTAGTCTCTTAATAGATTGTATTTATATAAAACACCATTAGCTAAAGTATGCGTGACTTGGCTTTGGATTACAGTACAGTTATTTTTTTGAACGTTTTGTGTTCAATCAGCAAGAGGCAACTGAAAGAGAAGAAGAAAAACGTTTTGAAAATGAATATGAACATGCCCGAAGGGAAGCGCTGGAACGAATGAAATGGGAGGAAGAAAAGAGGCGGCTAGAAGAGAAGCAGCGAGCT